TTTCATCTTCTTTTTCTTCTTAAAACCTCCCGCCCTCGGGTAGCCATTTGCATACAGAATTCATTTTGCATACAAACAGTAAAGTGTAATTAACAAAAGAGAGGTTGGGCTTTCTAACAACCCAACATGATCAAATTAGGCTTGGGCTCTAAGCCCAACCCAACGTTTAAAAAAAAAGAGAGGTTAGGCCTTTTATTAGCCTAACTGGACTAAGTCGGGTTAGACCCATTTCTAACCCAAGAAAAAGAAGGTTTGTTAGGCCAGCAGTTAGCCCAACCTAACTGAGTCCGACCAAGATAGCTGGGCTAGGTCAAACCCACTTAATAAATAAATAATATAATAATATTAAAAGTATATATATTTTTAAAAAAATCAAAATTTTCAAAGGGCATTTTAAAAATATTTTAGGGTCCCTAGCATGTTTTTCCAACTATTTTGCATGATATCATGTTGTCGACTTATACTGTAACATACAAACTCAATATTAAAAATACACAGTTTTCTTTGAGACATCAAAAAAGAATCTACATATTTTCTAAAAAGAGATAAAACCATTTTTATCATGTTTTAAAAAAATACAAAATGGATATCATAACTAGTTTATGATTATTCATTAGGGTCTTGTCAAAATACAAAAAAATATGATTATAATTTACTTATCATTCAAAATTCTAGGACTTAGCTATATCCAAGAAATAAATAAGTTTGGTTCTTGAAATAGTTAGGATTTAACCCAATAAGATAGAGACTTCCTCACGAATAGAGATTTATCTTAAAACTTAGACAAAACCAATAGATATAAATATAACTTAGAATAACAATTAAATAACAATGCAATTTACTTTAGGTATGATGCATTAGGAGTGATGCATTTTTCCCTTGTGTAACTAATTCCTTATCCAGACTCTTGCAGACTATTAGATTCTCTAATAACTATAATACTAAATGACGACTCTTGACTTTATGATCTTAATTTTATGATCAAACTCAAAACCTCTTTTTAACACATTTAAGAGATAGATTTGTCACACAACATCGTGCATATCACAACACATAACATTAAAAAGAGATATCCTAAAAACTAGAATATAAGAATAAATTCACACACATATCAACACCAATGTAGAAAATAAAAATAAAAATAAAAAATGAATACTCACAACTAATATTTACAATAAAAAATAGCAGGTTTACAAATATTTAAAATTATAAATCTAAAAAAAAGGCAATATTGTTACCGTTGGTGACTTTGCTTCTTGATAGCAATCAGCTAGATAGCTGGAATAGTAGCTCGAAAAAGTATTGTCGAGGCCACCCTCAAACTCATATGTCTATATTCTTAAAAGAAAAGAAGAAATACTTTTATTATTATTATTATTATTATTTAAAAAATAAAGACATATTAATTGCTTTCATTATTCATTAGTCAACAATCTCCAAGAGAAAACATATAAATTGTTCATTTATCTTAGAATGGCTTGTGAATAATAAAAAATAATTAACACAACATAAAGTTATAAAGTTACAAGGAAATATGTGATATTTTTAATACAATAAAGTCATGTATTAAATAATTTTATTATTCATCAGTCAACATCTAATGACAATGCCTAGTAACAATTTATTTATCTCATATGGATTTTTAAATAATAAAATTACTAATACATGAAAACTTGTAAGAAAAAGTATTTTGAAGACATATTAAAATAATATATTAAGCAATTTCATTATTCATCAGTCAATACTCTAGGACAAAACCTAGTAATAGTTCATTTATTCTTTGTGAATTTGTGAATAGTAAAATTATTAATACATAATAACATTGAGAGGAAAAAATAATTTAAATACAATAATATAATATATTAATCAATTTCATTACTTAACAATCAACACACGAGAACATTGTTTAATGATGGTTTATTTATTCTTTGTGGGTTTATCAATAATAATACCATTACTACACACTATCATAAGAAAAATTATCTCGAAGACATTTTAAGTATAATAATGTAATGTTTTAAGTAATTTCATTACTCATTAATTAACACTTTAAAATAGCACCTAATGATAGTTCATTTAGCTTATATAGGTTTATGAATAATAAAACCATTAATACACCATAACTTTGTGTATTAACACACAACTTAATAAGTTAGAAACAATATAAAACTTACACTAAGATCTAACATTTACATCTTGAATAAATGATTAGTACTTAAAAGTGCATTTTTATCATGGTTTTATATCATCATTTTGCACTTGAAGTATCAATAACTCCTTAACTAAAATATGTTTTATAAGAATGTATCTAATAATATAAGATACCTATAAATTGTGGTAAATGTCTATTTTTAATGCAGGCCTATCACATAAATGAAAGGATTGATTGATGACTTGAAGAACTTAAATTGCAAGGATAAAGAGATGGCCAAACTTAGAAAAGAGATGTCGGTGCAATCCAAACCGGAACACTGTTCGGTAAATGGGTCATATCTGGAGCTATATATCTCAGATTTAGGTCAAATTTATATGGATGGAAAGGTAAGACATAGGCCTACAACTTTCATATGGAGCCCAAGATCTAAAAAGGCCATTATCAAGTCCAAATTGTAGCAACAACAAAGAAGCCCGAATCTGTCTTCCAGCCCGAGCACTGTTCGGTATTTTGGCCATATCTGGAGTTCTAGAAGTCCAAATGAGCTGAAATTTTTACACAAGAAAGCTGAGACAATTGCCTACAACTTTCATGTTTGCAACTGGCTCCAGTTTTGACGTTATCAATGACGTTTTGGGCAGACAAGAGAAGATAAGGATTGTCACCAAGTCAAAAGTTGGTCACCCACTTATCAATTAGTCATCAAATCAATAGTTCCCATTTTTGGCCTATAAAAGGAGGCATTTGCCATGCATTTAGGCATCTTGATTTCCAGATCAAGATCATGCTCTTCCTTTCTCTCTTTGTATTTTTTATGCTTTGTTTTCATTAATATTAAGTTTATGCCTTTCATTTCCTTTCCTTTACTTAGTTAACTTTTATGTTCTTATTTTGTTTATCTATTTTGCTTTCTTTCATTATGTCTAGCTAAGTTAATTATGTCAAGGTGAAAAGGTTACACTAATGGTGTAAGAATAAGTATAATGTAAACTTAATATGGACTTTAATGTTTGATACTAACATGTTTTATATTTGCTATCTTGTTCACTCTTTAATACTTTGCTTGTTAAATGACTAATCTTGATTTATGTTGTATAACACTTGGTACAACAAATGCTTGGCACTTTCATAGCCCATAATGTATGGTATAACCGACACCTGAGCTATGAAAGGAACTTGATTTGTTGTTAACATAAGTTATAATCATGAATGCTTGACGAGATTTACAAGTATTAGCATTAATTGAATAAGATGTTTGCAACCTATTCTCCTAACCTTATTATAAGATATTGATTTCAAGCTTGTTTTATATTAAAAAATGATTACTTGACGACTTCATATCTTCAGGATTTCTACATAATAATATAGACCCCAACACTTCAAATATTTTTTATAAAAATATTTAAAAAATATTATAATAATAAAATAAGCAAGAAAAAGTCCTTTTTTATCCCTAGAAAATTAGCTAGAATTGTAATGTCGCATGGCTTGCACATGTTGCCGGGTGAATGTGGATATGGCATGTGAATTCACTTAGGGTAAAGGTAGGCTTGTATTAGGAATGATTATTTTCGGTTCAGTTTTGTTTTTTTAAAAAAAAAACTAAAACTGATTTAAATTGACTGGTTCCAGTTCAATTTGTTTTTTTGAATTAAAACCAGTTCAAATTAGTTTGACTCGATTTTTTGGTTTAACTTAATTTTTTTTCTAGTCTTTTTTGTTTGGGTTCAGTTCTGTTTGATTTGATTTTTTAATTTTAGACTTATAAAATCAAAACTGAACCGGTTGATTTTTTTAAAATTATAATCGATTTTTTTTATGGTTTAGTTTTTTAATTATTATTTTTTAGTTTTTTAATTCAATTGATATTTTAGTTTTTTTTACCACTAACTTGTTGGACTATCTATCCTTATCTTTTTTTTATTTTTTTTCCCTCTATCCACAATAAACCTCACCGCCACCACCTAGGGGAGGATATCAAACGAAGGAAAGGTCCAAATTATCTCTTCTTAATGGCTTTCTCTTTCTTCATGGGTGTTTGGCGGCCACCATTGTCGTGGTAAAGAGTGCATGTAGTTACCGAGAGATAAGGGAAGGAAGTGGTTTGGCAGAGAAGAGGAGAGTAGTTGGTGTGGAGGAGAGAGGGGTTGCAATGGTCACTGTCATAGTCAAGGCACGTGGTTGGGGAGAACGAGGAAAGAGAGAGCTGCGCCCTTTTTTTTCTTCTGTTTCTTGTTTCTTTTTAAATTTTTCTTCGCCGCCTTCTTAATGTTTTGGATCAAGCTTTATTCATACCTCCTTGTTTTTTATTCCTTCTTATCTTCTCTTCTACTATATTTTACTCTTTTCTTTTCTTTCTCTTTATTTAATTTTTATTTCTTATCCTTTTACCTTGTAGTTACTTGGAAAGTGGGCCGATACTTCATGTTTATTTTGTCTTCCCTCCTTCTTGATGATATTCCCCTCATTATTTATTTTATTTTCAATTTCAATTTCAATATTTTGATTTTAAAAAAGATTATCAATAGAAACAAAATAATCCAAAATTATAAAATAGCAAGAAACTGACCAAATTGCATCAAAAAATCATTTTTTTTTTAATTTTCGAAAATATGCTCGGAGGTGACAACACAAGTTACGATTTTGTCGAGCCATGACTATTTTGTTTTTTAGAGTTAACAATTACTAGGTATTTTTAAGCTGATCTGGTTCGACTACAAATTGAATTACAGGGAAACACCTATGAAAGGGTATCCCCCGCGTTAAGTTTAGAGAGCGTTCTCTGTTTGCATCCATGTGTTTCAAGTCCTCTGTATCGAACAGAAATAATGGGCAAGACCTATAATGCAGAAACAATTCTTTTCTTTGTTTCTGTGTTTTTGTTTTCTTTTTTTTTTTCCCACAGCACTGAAACACAATAAGCGGCTTTAAGTACATTTTGTACACAGGCAAGCCTGGAAAGATGCTCAAGAAATAACTCTATGCATAAACAGCTGAAGTTATTCCTCTGCAAATCAAATTTGACCGCCATCTGATATATTGCTGGCAACTGAAACTGCATGCTTAAAATATCTTGCTGTCAAAGTTTCATCACTCTACTTCTATCTGTTTTGATGGACAGCACCAGGAGAAACATGTAACGCCCCTAGAAATGAGATAAATTATAAACACAACGTATGCACCTGTAAAACCGCATACTACAGTGGTAAACGCTACTCCGGTCACTTCATTTACGAAAAAGTCAAGCAAAAGGTAACCATTGATTACTATCACCAGGGCAGCCACAAGCCAAGATACCATCTGCAAAGGGCAAAAGAAGGTTCGATCAATGCATCACTTCCTTGTAATAATAAATAGGTTACATAAAACAGACCCCCCAGTAACAAGAACAGCAACTTAACAGCAGCATATGATTCACAAGTGTCTGGCATAAATGAAGGCACAGTCCCAAATTTTTTCATTCTCAGCATCCTTAAACAGATCCCCATGAACAAACCATTTCATGATATAGTCAACAAGAAACGATCACTAATACATGTCACTGCATTAACATGGTTGATGCCACACTTCATGTGAGTTGCATGCATCTAGATGATGTTTGGGACAAAAGGTCCCGGATACAGAATACCCTCATTAGCAAATGACAAAAATTAATCCAATCACCCATATGATTCTCAGTTCTAGGCATGCATGAAACTAGTTTCCCTCAGAGAGGTGTCACTTTAACACCTTCATCCATGACTATATGCATCTTTTCACTTACAATAAAGCTAGATCAGCTACATGTAAAAATCTTGTAATAATTAAATTTTTTACCCAAGATTCATCCATCACATGCATAATTTCAGACATGTTTACACATTAACAAAATGTCACATGATTTTGACTTTATGATGCATTGGAATATTGAAGAACCACACAAGTTGAGAGATTTGGTTATATTGAGATTCCAAAAAATTGAAAAAGGCAATTGGTTCCTTGATTTAGTCAACTGACACCAATTTAAAGGGCTATCTTGAGCTTCAAGACAAATACCGCAGAATAACAGACTAGTCAACATACCTTAAGAATGGGGCCGATTTTGAAAGTGCCCATGATTTGCTCCTTGGATACTAAGCAGAGAAGAGGGATGAGTGCAAAAGGAATCTGTATTGACTGAAGCACATTTAGCCATTCATTCAGAACATCTAGTGAGTCTTCTGAGGTATCAAAAACAAGTGCAACAATCATAGTTGGGATGATAGCACAGCTTCGAGTGATCAATGCCCTTAGCCATTTCTTTAACCTCAAGTTCAGGAAACCTCCCATGATAAACTGTCCTGCATAAGTGCCAGTAATGGTGCTGCTTTGGCCAGCTGCTAATAATCCAATACCCCAGATGTATAAAATTGGGAAAAATCCACCCCCGTATTTGTCTTGAAGATATTGCCCTGCATTTACAAGGCCAATACTATTGGCCAGTTCTGTCCCGTAGAAACCTTTAGCAAAAACAGTTGTCACAAACAAATTGATTAGGAACGATATTACAAGGGCAGTGGTTGACTCTATGGAGTAGTATCTGAGAGCTTCTTGAACCCGGTCTTTCTTACTGTGGTCGATCTCCCTTGACTGTACAAGAGCAGAATGCAAGAACACATTGTGAGGCATGATAATGCAACCCACAACTCCAACAGCTTGTTGTATTGTTCTGGAGCTAAGTTTTGGAATTAAGATACCTACACCAACAAAGAATCCAATTAACTCTCTACAAGATACAAGGAAGCATTACAGTCGCACAAATGGAAAGAAACCAAGCAAATTGGAATCTTAAATTGAAATCTTAAGTTAACCAAGACATTACTAACCCAGAAAAAGTTCGGAGGCACTGGGTTTTGCATCTCCAAACATCCATCCAAATGTAACTGCCATTATTCCAATAAGTACCGCAAATACAGCCTCCAATTTTCTCACACCGTAGTTCTCTAGAAATAGGAAGATGAAGCTGTATTGACACAAGAAATGAATAGCATCACCACAATGAACTATACTTTTCTACAAGAAAATTAACGTATACTCTGTTTGATTGCTACAGAACTGAAAACAGGAGGGAAAGTCTATCCAGTTTCCAGGACACAAACAAAAGATCAATAATTTATGGCTTCTGTGCAGTAATTACATATATCCAACTCCGGGCGACAACAGTAATTGATTAATTACTTATCCTTTTAATTTACTGATAGCTTACCTGATTTACTTAGCCTCCAACAACAACATAATTCATGAAAAATCACAGATAAAGTACTTGAAAAGTTGAAGCCTTCAAATTAAAAGGCCCAAAAAAATTCAACAGACAAAAATCCGAAAACCGAGAAACAATTACTAAAAGACAACACAATAGAATAAAGCCTTACAATCTTAAAAATGGAAAAAATCTTATATTCAAAAACCAAATGATCCAAAAAGAATTAGAATCAAACGTCCGCTTGATAAACAAAATCCCCTCGAAACACCATCAGCTTAAACCCAAAACAACACGAAAAAAGAGCCAAAACCAACCAATCCAAACAAAAGGGTATTCAAAACAAGGAATTACCAATCACAAGCAGTAATAGTAACACCAGCCCACAAAGGAAAAAACCCATTACTCAAGATCTTAATAGCAATAGCACTTCCAATAACCTCTTGTATATCAGCACCAATCAAAGCCAACTCAGCCATAATCCACAAAACCATTGAAGCCCAGGTTGGATACTCTTCTCTACACAGCTCAGCTAAATGCCTTCCTGTAGCCACTCCAAGCCTCGCTGAAAGCAACTGCACCAACAACCCCATAGCAGTAGCCCATAAAAGAAGCCAAAGCAAAGAGTAGCCTGCGATTGCACCAGCCTGAAGATCCCCTTCCAAATTTCCAGGATCCAAAAACGCAATGGACATTAAAAACCCAGGACCAGTAAATAACCATAACTTTTTCCATGAAAACGGTGGCAACACCGTTGAGCCACCGCTTTCAGTGTCAGAATCAACCCCAATTATGAGCACTTTCTCATCAGAATCATAAGCTCTATCTTCTTCTTCTTCTTGCAATAAAAGTTGTTGGTTTTCTTCTACAGGCATGATTCTGTTAGTTACAACAAGAAGTCCACTGTTAATGTCTGCGTTTCAAGATGGCTGGTTTCTCTTCTTTTAAGACGGAGGATAAACTTAGAGAGATAGCTAAAACTACCGGTCCTTTCTTCTCTCTCTTCCACTTTCATAATTTCATTCCTTTTTATTTTTAATCAGAGAAAAAGGAATTGGAGTGTGACACGTGGAAAAGCATGCTGGCGCCACTAGGAATGGTTTCAGGGGTGTTAACGTCATTCAGTGGGTGTTTATACACCAAGAATATCATCATTTCTTGTATCTGCTCTCCATTAGAAAGTACTTTTTAAAATACATCAGAATTTCAGAAAGCATTGTATTAATTTTTTAAAAAATATATTTTTAGATGATTTTGGATTTTTTAAATAATATTTTCCAAAAAAATTTTAAAAACTAATAAAGACCCAGAACTTTTTAAGATAATAGCACATTAATTTGTTTTTTCAATATATAAGGTTTTTTTTAATCTTTAATTATGTCATTAAAATTAATAATGTATAAAATAAATATGACTCACTTCTCATCTTTTCCTTTCCTTAACAAAAATATTTCATGTTAATGATTTATAAATAAAAAAAATATTTTATATGTTATTTGTTATTAATATTTATCTATTTTTTTTAATCAGTTTACTATTAAATAAGAATGACCCTGAATTTTACCTTTACTTTTTCTAAAAAAAATTATTTCCTCATATATTAATGATGAACTAGATAAAAAAAATTATTTTATATGTTTTTCTTCTTAATATTTGTATATTTTTAAATCAGCTCTTTGTAATTTTATTTTTTTCAAAACTTTTTAGTTATCAAAATAATTTATTTTTTAACGTTATTTTGTTCCCAAAATCTTATTTATAATTATTACTTAACTTACTAAGTTAAGTATTGAAATTTAAATTGACTACAAAATCTTATTGAGTTTTAATTTAATCACAACTAATTATTTTTATTGATAATTATCATTATTATTAATTAACCTAAGTTAAGTAATTCTATTGACATTTAAATGGATTAATATTGAGAATAAAATGATATTAATAAATCAGTTGTTTTGATTCATAAATGATGAGTATTATTTAAAATTTAATTTAAACTAAAAAAAACTTTGATAGGTTATTAAGAAAAATAATATAAATTATATATTAATTTTTTTTTAATAATTTAAATTTTTTAGTTAAAATGATTATTTCAAAACATTTATGATTAAACAGTTATAAGTATAAATTTTTTTTATTTTTTTATTAATAAAATTAAATAAAAGATGACATTAAATTATTTTAGTATAGCTATAAAAAAATATAAAATCGTTTTAAAAAATATTAAATTAATATTTGCTAATCTAAATGCACCTTTGACATGAATATGTGAAACCACAATTTTCAAAACATTAGAGCGGGGCAAGGCATCGCTACGCATGGAATTTTGAGGTTTTTCAGGGCCTTTTATTTATTTATTCTTACAGTCATTGTCTATTCTTCCAACTTTCAAGGTCCTGTTTGCATTGTCAGAGATGTAAATTCAACATTCATATGTATTTATTCTTAGAGTCATTGTCTATTCTTTAACTTTCTAGATTCTGTTCACACTGTAGAGGAATAAATTGAGTAATTAGTACATAAAATAAAAAGAAACAGTGAAGTAACACAGGTTAAAATTTTTTTGGTAAAATATCATAGTTTGAAAATATAATAATTTAAAAAATGTAATATTATAATAATATTACTATTGAGAAATATGATATTAGATGTTGGTTAATTATGTGTGATTATAACTAAATTATATTATCCTGACATTAATTAACAAATTTTCTTTAAAAAATAATTAAATTTTCAAAATTTAACGCTAAAGCAAATTTATTAATAATTAAATATATTTATGAAAAAAAATTTAATTGGTATTTTCAAACTCAAGTAAATTAAATCAAACCTAAATTTATAAATCAACTCAAATTCATAATAAAATAATATAATTCAAATAAAATATCAAATTTGTGAACTTATAAAATAATTTAATGAAACATAATTTATCATGTAAATATTACATTTATACTTTATTGCATTAAATCATCAGGCATAGGTCATTATATTATTAACTAATTCCATTAATAAATATAAAATTCTTAATTTGACGACTTATTATCAACTAAACCTAACACATAATTAATTGTAAATATTATTTCATAATTAATTTAACTTATTTTAACATTCAATCATATCAAATCAATTTTAAATAATGATATTCTTAACTAATTTTATATTAATTCAACAAACTCTAAATTTAATTTAAACAATTATTTTATGTCAATCAACCAAAACATAAATTTATTACAATGTAATATATTTACCTTATTTATAGAACTAGAAAAAAAGATGGGATTGTCCAACCAAAACATAAATTTATTTACCTTACTTATAGAACTAGAAAAAAAGATGGGATTGTGACTAAGACAGCAATAGCAAAAAAAAACGATTGATTTTAAACCAAAAACATATTGAAGATGCTTAGAAATTAGAAATGAGTTTGATTTTTGACTATTTTAAGAGCAAAATAGAAAGACTTGGTGAATTTTCTAGAAAGATTGTGAGGAAGGATGTTTGGTTTTAAAAAAAGAAACCGTCTAACTTGTTTGCTCTTTGATCTAAATTATATTTAAATTTTAATTAATATTATACTTTGAAAGCATTACATCTTAAACTGTCTCACTTCTTAATAACAATATTTACTAAATGTTGTGATTCTAAGGCACAACAATATCAAACTATTTTATTTAACAATATTTTTTGAAACGGTACTATTCTGCTAAATTCTTATATTTACTATGTTATTTTTACAAAAAAAAAAACCCTATTAAAGGTGTAAATTTATCATATGATTTGACAAGTTTAAGAAATTTACTAGAAGGTTCTTGGCAATTCAATTATATTTTAGAAGTTTTTTATATTTAAATTATTTTTTTATCATTTTTATATATTGATATCATCAAAAAATAAATTTTTAAAATAAAAAATAAAGTAGTTCGACACAACGTTTTTTGAAAAAATTATTTTTAGTGTTTTTATATTATTTTAATGTGCTGGTATCAAAAGTAAATTTTAAAAAATAAAAAAAATATTATTTTAATATATTTTTAAATAAAATTATTTTAAAAAATAATTATAATAAAATATAAAACACTTAACTTGTGTGAGTAGCTAACAATTCAAATTGTGAGAGGGTGTCGTTCTCAAAGTTAAAATACAAGTATTGATGAAAGATAATACGGATAGAAAGTGTTTCTAGCTATAAACTGACCCGAATTCCACCACCTTCGTAAAATGAAAAAGATTGCCTTCATATTATGCTGGAAAGAACTCAAAGATATCGCTTAGGTGCCATCCTTCACGGAAGAGGTGATTTATTTTTTAATTTTTTCTTTTTATATTCATTTTTATATTTTCTTTCTTTCTTCAATAAATATTATATATTGGTTTTGAATTAATTTTTATAAATTATTTTAATTAATTTTTTATAAAATTATTATAATTTTAAACAAATATCTTGATATTTAATTTTAAATAAATAAAGTGAAAATAAGCTATAAAATAATCTTTATAAATTATTTTTTTCTATTTTTATTATATAATCAAGTGAAAATAATTAAAAAATAAAGTTTTTAAATTCAGTATAGTTTATAAACCAGATTATAAATTTAATAAATTAAACTATAAAATTTATATTGATTCAATATATTATCATTTTAGTATTAAAATAAAATCACATCTTGAATTTTTTTTAATTTTTTGGAAAGTAATAAACTTTGATAAAAATTAGAATCAATTTCAAATTAATAGATTTATAGCCATGTAAAGATTAAATTAAGTAAAGCACTTGATCCAAAATTTGGTGATTCTAAATGCATATCCTATTGTTGAATTGAATTGATTGATTGATTATATTTTGTCACGTTATACACTATTACAAAAGAATACTATTTTAGATTTGATTTGAAGAAGTGAAAGGAGGAACCTTCCGATGAAAACCAAACTCAGCTCAAATGCCAAATTCATGACAAAAGGTGGAGTCTCAAATAAAACGCCGAACGAAAGCACTTCCCGAAAACTTCATTCAGTTCTTGTCCTTTAGTTCATCAATTCCCCCGCCCCTTTCGTAGCCTTACGCATCATGCTAGACTTATCATATGTAACTATTTTATCAGCCATCGTAATTCTTTTTTTCTTTTTTCTTTTTCTAGTTTAAACGTTATTGTGATTTAAGAAAAGCACTTTTATATATTATATCAAAATCATTCTCAATCTAGTTTTAGTTGATATTAGTTAAATGACCTGTATGATATTATGGATTAATTTTTTTATATAAAAAATATATATAAAAAAATTAAAATTTAAAAGTATTATGTTTTTTTACAAAACTATACTTAAAGTTTTAGGTTTGACTACAACGTCTGACCTAAGAGTAATATTTATAATATTAATAATAATATTAAACTTGCATGACCCAAGTTTAAGTGGGTTTAACTGTAATACCAAGTCCAATAACCTTGGATGTGGGTCTGGCTGCAAGGCCGTATCATAAAAGTATGATGATTAAATAGATTAAGTAAAAAAAAATATAGAAAAAAAACCAACATGAAGAAAATAACTAATGAAGAAAAAGAAAAAAAATCTGAATTAATTGAGTTAACTTTTCAAATCAGGTTAACCAGTCAAACATTGGATTTGTGTTGTGAAAGTTTGATAACTAAATAGAAAAAAAAAATTGATGGGTTACCCCAGAATCAACTAGGCTAACCTGTCAAATCCGGGATCTGTGTTATAAAAATCTGATAATTAAATAGAAAAAATTTAATATTAAAAAAGTAAATTAAAAAAATAATTAAAAAAAAAACCAGAAAAAAACTAAGGCATCAACTTTTTTATTATGGACTGCACTGTGCAGTCCACAATAAAAGGCTTAAAAAGAAAAAGAAAAGGAAAAAAAATAAAGGCATACCCACTGGTTAATTTTTTTTCTTACATAAAAAATATAAAAAAAGGCTAAGATCTAAGAGTGTTAGGTCTTTCTGCAAAGATATACCCTAAAGCCTTGAGTCTAATTACAACG